TACTTTTGTCAATTAATTAAAAACATTAAATGTGTGGTTTTTATAAATAATAAGAGTGGAATAGATTTATATCGAATGCAATGTGACCAGAAAATTATATTTCATCCATATTCAACTGCAAATGTTGCTTTATAATAAACAATGGGTTTCTGTGTGGAATATCCAAATTTTGAAATAAAAAATAATTTAAACTAATTAGGTAGTACCCTCAGAATCAGTGTTAAGTAAAAAGGTAGGTACACCTATATTGACCTACTAGTAGTTGATCATCTAGGTGAACTAGGTAAGTTTTATCAATTTATATCCCATTGGAAACAAAAAAAAATACAAGTTTATCTTTACTTACATCAAAATACAAAAGCACGAGATGGTGGTTTATATTTTTATTAATTTTTATTAATTTTTATTAATTTTTATTAATTTTTATTAATTTTTATTAATTTTTATTAATTTTCATTAATTTTTATTAATTTTTATTAATTTTTATTAATTTTTATTAATTTTTATTAATTTTTATTAATTTTTATTAATTTTTATTAATTTTTATTAATTTTTATTAATTTTTATTAATTTTTATTAATTTTTATTAATTTTTATTAATTTTTATTAATTTTTATTAATTTTTATTAATTTTTATTAATTTTTATTAATTTTTATTAATTTTTATTAATTTTTATTAATTTTTATTAATTTTTATTAATTTTTATTAATTTTTATTAATTTTTATTAATTTTTATTAATTTTTATTAATTTTTATTAATTTTTATTAATTTTTATTAATTTTTATTAATTTTTATTAATTTTTATTAATTTTTATTAATTTTTATTAATTTTTATTAATTTTTATTAATTTTTATTAATTTTTATTAATTTTTATTAATTTTTATTAATTTTTATTAATTTTAATTAATTTTTATTAATTTTTATTAATTTTTATTAATTTTTATTATTTTTATTAATTTTTATTAATTTTTATTAATTTTTATTAATTTTTATTAATTTTTATTAATTTTTATTAATTTTTATTAATTTTTATTAATTTTTATTAATTTTTATTAATTTTTATTAATTTTTATTAATTTTTATTAATTTTTATTAATTTTTATTAATTTTTATTAATTTTTATTAATTTTTATTAATTTTTATTAATTTTTAATAATTTTTATTAATTTTTATTAATTTTTATTAATTTTTATTAATTTTTATTAATTTTTATTAATTTTTATTAATTTTTATTAATTTTTATTAATTTTTATTAATTTTTATTAATTTTTATTAATTTTTATTAATTTTTAATAATTTTTATTAATTTTTATTAATTTTTATTAATTTTTATTAATTTTTATTAATTTTTATTAATTTTTATTAATTTTTATTAATTTTTATTAATTTTTATTAATTTTTATTAATTTTTATTAATTTTTATTAATTTTTATTAATTTTTATTAATTTTTATTAATTTTTATTAATTTTTATTAATTTTTATTAATTTTTATTAATTTTTATTAATTTTTATTAATTTTTATTAATTTTTATTAATTTTTATTAATTTTTATTAATTTTTATTAATTTTTATTAATTTTTATTAATTTTTATTAATTTTTATTAATTTTTATTAATTTTTATTAATTTTTATTAATTTTTATTAATTTTTATTAATTTTTATTAATTTTTATTAATTTTTATTAATTTTTATTAATTTTTATTAATTTTTAATAATTTTTATTAATTTTTATTAATTTTTATTAATTTTTATTAATTTTTATTAATTTTTATTAATTTTTATTAATTTTTATTAATTTTTATTAATTTTTATTAATTTTTATTAATTTTTATTAATTTTTATTAATTTTTATTAATTTTTATTAATTTTTATTAATTTTTATTAATTTTTATTAATTTTTATTAATTTTTATTAATTTTTATTAATTTTTATTAATTTTTATTAATTTTTATTAATTTTTATTAATTTTTATTAATTTTTATTAATTTTTAATTAATTTTTATTAATTTTTATTAATTTTTATTAATTTTTATTAATTTTTATTAATTTTTATTAATTTTTATTAATTTTTATTAATTTTTATTAATTTTTATTAATTTTTATTAATTTTTATTAATTTTTATTAATTTTTATTAATTTTTATTAATTTTTATTAATTTTTATTAATTTTTATTAATTTTTATTAATTTTTATTAATTTTTATTAATTTTTATTAATTTTTATTAATTTTTATTAATTTTTATTAATTTTTATTAATTTTTATTAATTTTTATTAATTTTTATTAATTTTTATTAATTTTTATTAATTTTTATTAATTTTTATTAATTTTTATTAATTTTTATTAATTTTTATTAATTTTTATTAATTTTTATTAATTTTTATTAATTTTTATTAATTTTTATTAATTTTTATTAATTTTTATTAATTTTTATTAATTTTTATTAATTTTTATTAATTTATTTTTATTAATTTTTATTAATTTTTATTAATTTTTATTAATTTTTATTAATTTTTATTAATTTTTATTAATTTTTATTAATTTTTATTAATTTTTATTAATTTTTATTAATTTTTATTAATTTTTATTAATTTTTATTAATTTTTATTAATTTTTATTAATTTTTATTAATTTTTATTAATTTTTATTAATTTTTATTAATTTTTATTAATTTATTTTTATTAATTTATTTTTATTAATTTTTATTAATTTTTATTAATTTTTATTAATTTTTATTAATTTTTATTAATTTTTATTAATTTTTATTAATTTATAATAATTTTTATTTTACAGCTAAATAAAGCACAGAACGTACTGTTGTATTTATTTCTAAATAAGTCTTGCATGTTTTAATTGATACATTATTTAATTTTATCTATATAAAATACAAATAAGGTATGTATGACCAAATTCGAAAAGGTTTCTTAATTGCTGAAATTTGATGAGTACAATTTTGTGGCAATTTTTTTTTTAATTGAACCAATATACCGTGAGCACCATAAGTCTTACCCCCCCTATCTAACTCGTTACTGGAGTCTGGTTAGGAAAATCGCTGAGATTTTTGATTTCTACAGTGTACATTTTTGTATGAATAGTTTACCCTTAATTTCATCCCTTACTGGAGGGGAGCAACCCTTTCGAAAAATTTAAATGGCATGGGGTGGTGAGTGATAGCTCATTTGAAAGAGGGTTTTATTCTCTATTTAACCATGTAAAAAAATTTAAAATTTGCTTCATTAATTTTAAACTTAAGTTTTATTTCGGCCTGACGTGAAATGATTAGATTTTGGACAAAGTCGGAACATCTGGGGGGTACTTTATAGGAGGCCGTTTTTATATTTTATGGAATATGTCTTCCTAGTTCCAAATTTCAGCTTTCAAGGCTCAGTAGTTTTGGCTGTAGGTTAATAGGTCAGTCAGGACAAACAATTTTATATATCGATGGCTTACTGCTAATACCCCGTATCTGCAAAATGTAAAATTTTACAGGAAACACATAAAACTTGTTAAAAGCAGAACTGTCAACAAGCAAAATAAATTTTATTTTTAAAGTACTCAATTATGTTTATTCAATTAACAAAAAATAAAAGTTTTAGTAAAACACAAGTTTCATAGGTTTAAATGCAGATACGGGATATTAGCAAATGTAAATCAAAGCAAACGGTAGATACGGGCTATTTTCTATAATATTTTTATAGCAAATAAATACACCAAAATACAAGAAAATGATTTTTATTAGAAAAATTAACAAAGATTATTTTATAAGGAAATAGCAGTTTAATGCCTAAGAATATACCTACTATGATGATGAAACATGTGGAAGGTTGCTATAATATTCAGCGCAATCGGCAGGCAATACAGATTTAAGCTCTTGGAGATGTTTCCACTTTTGTAGCTTCATTTTTATTCTCTCTTTATGTAATGGGGGGTAGTCTGTAACGTTAGGGTAATTTACCTTTCTACATGGCAATGGCTGGAGACTGTGATTAAAATTAATTTTATACATATTTTTTTTTTCGTTTGGGTTGTACTGCAAATGTCTGAGATCAGTAACAGAGGGCTCATTCTTTTTTTTTCCGGGTCGAATAGAGTTGTAACTCCATGAGGATGGCTTTGAATAGTCCTTAAAAAATCCATGTGTTAGGTAATACGTATCTATTGGACAGGGATTTCGTCTGGCCTCTCTGGTTATGTTTACGTAGTCGCAAATGGATAAAACGGTTTTTTAACTTTTGCTCAATCATACTGTGGACTGCGTCGAATTCCATTTGCGTGTGGTCCCTCTCTAAAAATTTTTGTTCAATTAGAATATTATTCTCCAAGCAATATTGAAACAAGGCGTTGGCCATAACAACATTTCTATTCTGGTAGCAGCACCCGTCAGAGTAAATGACAATGGGCAGTTTAGGATCACTGCATTTCTCTTTCAGGTAATGAATCAAAAAACTTGCAAATGTAGATGCCGACAAGTCGCCTTCAGTTTCGTTCCACCAGTAACAGGTGCTCTGGTGTGTCGCCAAATTGTAAACGGTAAAATTGTGACAATTTAATTTCATCTTATAATAAATTGCGCTTGTGTTAATCACTGGGCAAATTTTAACGGCTTGAATATCTACAACCAATGTATAGGTTTCTCCCCTTAAAGCTTTTGCTTTATCGTCCTCCTTCTCTTTACGGGCTCTATCTTTTCTTTCTAAATGATTTTTGTAATCCATTTCGTTTATATTATTAGTTTCAAAGGAACAACATACATCACATTTATCTTTTTTTGGCTTATAAAGGCTAATATTTATCTGCGTTAACATATCGTCAAATATCGGAAAACTGACAATGTAGGTTTTTTTATCATTGTCTTTGCATTAAGTTTCATAAACACGATACAAATCTATTTTTGTCCGAAAAACTTGCTCAAGATATAACTTCTGCGAATCTTTTCTGCAATAATGGAAACTTAGTTTTGGTAAACTTTCTAACCACTCTCTCAAATATAATTTTTCTTAATTTTTAAAACCATTATCGCTACGCGTTCTTGATGATTTTACTTCTTCTATAGTACTTGTGCTTAAACCATGTTCAGTACTGCCAATCCAATCGTGTACCATATCTTCCTTTAACCCTAATGTTCCCAAAAACATCTTCTTGCATACTCTTTTTCTTTCATTGTCTTTTGTTCGTAAGTGATAAAAATACGTCCCCTTTCGACGTGATGGAACTTTAGTAGACTTTCTCTTTTTTTTTCACATATTCAACATTTCCCGTTATATACACCTTTTTTTGTTCCCAGGATTCCATATTCCAGAACTTGGTAAATATGGAAAGTCTGTAATCTTCTGAAAATAACTGGCAAAAGTGTTTAGTACTCTTTATGCAGGAAACAGATTTGCAAGTTTCTGAAATTTTTCTTTGAGGTCTAGGTATACCTTGAGTTATAACCCCAGAGTTACTTCTTTTATAACCGTTATACGCTTTTCCACTCATTCTAAGTTTTTTTATCTCATTTCTATTCCACTCCCCTTCTTGTAATTTAACATTTGTTTTTTTAGTTTTTCTTTCTGTTTCCAAATTTTCTACGTCGTCTGCGGTAATGTGAAAATTGGGCTGATCAGATTTATTTTCTTCCAAGTTAATGTTTTCAAACTTATTGCTTTTTACATTTTCTATGTCTTGTATTATTGGCTCTATTACAGGTATGTAATCAGGATCATCATTGAATGATGTTTCTGTGTCACTCGGATTTTCTGAGAAGTAAACGTCATCAATATTACACGAACGTTTGTTATTATTTTGACTTCTTAGTTTTTCACAGCTTTCTTTATTTTCGTCGTAATCTTTTGTATTTTGATTGTATTGAGTAGCTTCAGGAACAATACACTCTAATTTTTGAAGTACGGTAAAAAATGTCACTTGGAAGATTGTTTTTTAAATTTTCAGGATAGTCATCCAATATCTGGTCATCCAAATTATTAGCCTGGTCAACAAAGTTATCATCAGGGCCGTTAAACGCGTTACTCGCTAGATTTTCAGTGTCGCTATGCATTTTTGGGTCTACGAAAATTATGTCCCGGTCATCCATCTGTACAGCACGCTCGCTTGGACTATTTTTCGTTTTATCCATCTCGACATCCTAGACTATTGATCTAGCAACCATTCTTTTGCTTCTCGACAAATTATTAATCTGTTAAAAGAGAAACAACGTGTAGGTAATATCCCGTATCTAAATATAAATTTTACTATATTGACAATAACCCGTATCGTAAATTTGTTTTAAAAATTAATTTTTTATAGAGAAAAAATACATAATTTAGATTATTTTAACAGACACGCACAAATTGATTTATTTACTTAAATATAATTAAAACTTACCGGCTTTTCACATATTTCCTTCATTAATGAAGACATTGTAAACAGCTAACTTATAAACACCAACCTGTAGAGTAGCTGTACTGAACGATACAGGGTATTTGTGAAGAATATGTTAGCAACACGTTACGGGATATTACATTTATTAAAATTTGGCGCGTTATAGTAAACTTACGATACTGGGAATTTGCAGACGCATGGGGGACACCAGTGGCGACATCTCTAGAGAAAAAACCGAATTTTGATTTTTTTTTTGCAGATACGGGGTATTAGCAGTAAGCCATCGATATATAGATATAATGATACATGACACTTTTATTTGATTACCCACATTTATTTGGTAAGTTTGAAGGTGTGAGTGAAAAAATCTATGGTTGCTGGGGCAAATTTACCGGGCGCCAATTTAGCTGTCAACTTATTAAATTGTTCTGAGTTCACTAACGATCCACTTACGCCTATTTTTACGTAGGTAGCGATATGGTAGGAATATTGTGTTACTGAGTGTAGATCACAATGGCGAATTTAACTTTTATTATTAAGTTTGTGTACTAGAATATATATTATTTTTTGCACACCTGAAAATTATTTTTTGAGATTTATTCGAGCGTACTATCTAAAAATACTTAATTAACTTAAATCTGCATTTACAGGCTGCCGACCGTGACATTTTTTCCATTATTTAATTTTATTTTTAATTATAACAATAATTTCCATTTCAACTTGGCTTGAATTCAAATGCAAAAACGGCATCATCATTAAATCCCAGTTCATTAAAAGTATATTAAACTGGCTCGAATAAAAAAAAATATGTCAAAAGTTAACCTCCTTAATGAATCACGTAATGGATAATTTTAGATAATTATGACGCAATTTTAATGAATTAGAAGTTATCAGAATAATTTCGAACTTAGTTTGCAATATCTACTTAAAAATTGAATTTCATCATTATGCAATGTAATTAAACAATTATTACAATTTATATTAAGCGTTTATTTATAAATTTTCTTTATATATTACGATTTTTATTAAATTTAGACGAAATAGCAGTCAGGACCGTATTTGCGCGATTCATTTGTTACATAGATGTACAAGTCCCGTTTTTATGCCAATGGGGCATGTTCAAAAATTTTGAATTTTTTTTTATGAATAATAGAGATGAAAATAAAGCTACATTTTTTTTATCTATTCATTTGACAGAGTTATGAATTTTTTAAAATTTATGACGTCACCGGGAATAGACCAATAGGAGCTAGCGCCACAACGTTGCCGGTTAGAAAGTTTATGAGAAGTGATGTACGTTCGTTTGTGTACTCCTTCTTACTTTTAGACTTCTAAAACATCGTTAAACAAATATCTTTTAAATATATAATATCAAATATTTTTTGAAAGTATTGTTTCTGTTTAAACTTTTACCATATTTAAAGTTTCATTGTTTTATAAGTCACTTAATAATTCAGAAATTATTAAGTGACAAATGGCAAAACGGCAGCATTGTATGTGTCATCTTTCATAGTGTCTCAATCAATAATTTATGGGGAATTTGAGTGTTTATTTTGGGGAATGGGATGTTTCGGCGTGGCCGTTTTGGCGTGGCCGTTTGGACGTCGGCCATTTCGACGTTGGCCATTTCGGCGTTGGAAGTTTTGGCAAACTTAACAATATAATTTTTATAAATTATAAATAATTGTTATATTTATTATAATTAGGTTTATTATAATTAAATAATAAAACTGTTTTCGTGTCGAAAGGAAGACTAAACTAAAATGTCTATATACTATTGGCATAATCTAAATGATCGTAGGAACAAATGCCAAAGATATCACCGTTCTGACATTTAGAGAGAATTGTAGATCAGCATTATACTCTCCCGTATGTCCCATAGAAGCCACTTGTTTCCCCATATTTTAAGCCAAGTAAAAAAAAAACCATTTATAGTAACGCCTGTTCGAAATCGCAATATATTACTTCACTATTATTATACTAATGTTCATATAAAATATTAATTACACTACTATTATAATTCTGATAGGTACTTGAAAAACAGATTAAAACATTTATCCCATTCCTATGCAATGCCTCACTTATTTCAATACTTTACTTATAATAAAACAGTGGTTTTAACATACATACTAAAAAATAGTATTCCCGACGCCGAAACGGCCAACGGCGAAATGGCCTGACGTCCAAATCGCCACGCCGAAATGGCCACGCCGAAACGGCCACGTCCAAATGTCCTAAACCCCTTATTTTGTACTTTCTATAAATATTATAACTACGAAAAAGTGTTTTGTTCCAGAATGTGATAATGATTCACATTCTTCTTCAAAAATATCTATTAGTGTTCCTAGAAATTTGGAAAGAAGAAAATCAACCTTCTACTAGCGATGTTTCTCGTAAACTTTTTAATAAAAATACACCGGATATTCAAGATGTAGCAGCAATTTCTGGTAATTGTCCCCTTCAGCAAATTCAAAATGAGGCTACTATAAATTCTTAGGTGTATAACCTAAAGTTGGTATTTAAACAAACTGGTTCCTGGATCCCATATAATGGCAGATAGGGGGTTTAAGAATATTCAGCCATTACTTAAAAACATGGGATGCACTTTAGTAAGGCCACCTAGTGTATCACAGAATGAAAAAAGTGCTCCAGAAGATGTACAATTAAGTAAAAGAATAGCATCTCTAAGAATACATGTGAAAAGAGTTATAAGAAGGGTTAGGGAATTTCACATGTTAAAACCACATTCCTGTGTGAATTTTAAGAAAGTACATTTACTTAGTAATATCTGCATAATTGCTTGTGGTATTGTTAACTTACAAGAACCTATTTTGTAAGAGTAAATATTAATTTAATAAACTTTTTTTTTTATTTGTTTTTTAATTTAATTTACCTAATTATCACATTTCAGAGATTATAATGAAGGTTTTTTAAACAGCCAATGTAATTTTTTTATAAAATTTTAACTTTTCGAGCAAATCAAAGCGGAATGAGTATCTGTATATGCATAGATTTTTTTGGGACTAAAACTACCAAACCAAAGGCACCTATTTACAGCAGTCAGGTAACTACTACATGTGGTATCACTGGTGATAAATTTAAAAATATTACAATTCATGCCATCTTTTTCAAAAAACCAGCAAGTGTGCCTTCTTATCAATCCTTGACGAAAATGACAACAGTGGTAAATGTGAAAAAAAAAATTTATGTTGCTATTCGTTATTACGATAGTAAAACATGTTTGCAGTTCTGTTTATTTTTTATGGAAATCTAAGTAAAAACAACCAATGTCAAAGGATTATAATTGTTTCTCTGTCAAACCAAATATAGCACACAATTAAAAATTGATCGTAGGTCAAGCTAAAGTAATAACTTTGTTAATAGTATCTTTAAAAAAGGAAATAGAATAATATTGGTCATTTTTAATAAAAACTCTTCAATTATTGTTTACAAACAAAAATGTAAAAATCTGTGAAAATTTTATTTATTAACCTTTTAATAAAAAATGAAAAAATGAAGTAAAAAACAATTTATTTACAAATAAAATATATATATATATATATAAATCCTAAGAATATAAAAGTACTGATTTATTTCCCTGTAGTGGATGAAGAGGTTTCTTTAACAATCTAGCCAAGGGTACATCAATATTTACGCATTTTGATAAATTAGAGCCTTTCCAATAACACTGAGTAGATGTTACAGATGGTTCCTCACTTCTTCTATGAAGCCACAGCAAAAAAGCTACATGTTTACAACCACCTGAAAAAAATAAAAGGGTTAGATATGCAGTTACAAAATAACTATATAACCAGCTACAAAATGCCTTATTTTATGTAACAAGACGAGCAGAGCTTCACTAGCTCTGAATGAATCCAGTAAAGAACATCGGATTTTCAATACTTAAAAAAATAAACAATCTCACCACATTTTCAAATTTATGAAATATTATAGAGCTTTTCGAAAAAAACTGCTATTTTTAAAAATACAATTTTTTTTTAAACAGCTATGTCTCATTTTAGGCTATTAAGTATTATAAAATAAAAATTACGGGATGCTTTGTTAGCTTCAAACGAATCCAGCAGAGCACTCCAGTTTTTTTTTAAACCACACCAGGTTTTTTGGCTCCTAAAATATTAGAAATTTGGCATTTTTAAAAAAATTCGCAAGTTTTTTTCTGAAAACAAATATACTTACCACATTTTTAGGATTTTAAAACAGCCTAAACATGTGTCATAAGTAGTTGTTTTTATATATAAAAAACAAATTAAAAAAACTGAAGTATCCTGCTGACTTTGGTCCAACAAAGCACCCTGTATTATTTAAAAATAGTAATTTTTTTAGTAAAGCGCCACGGCAAATAATAATAGCCGTCCCTTCCCCTACATAAGTCGTTCAGTCGACTTCAGGGGTTGAAATTCACTCGTAAGGGGGTGAATTAGGGAGAGTATTATTATTATTATTATTATTATTATAAAGTTTTACAATATTTCAAGAGTCTAAAAATATCCTAAAAATAGGGTCTGGTTTTTAGAAAAAAAGCTTTAAAAAACCGAATTGCTCTGCTGGCTTCTTTCGAAGGTTAGCAAGCACCATGTATTTTTTAAAAATATTTCAAGTGCATACAAGACGGGATAGATATAGAATGGGACGGGATAGATATAGAATGGGACGGGA